TTTTTTTTTTTTTTTTTTTGTAACTCAGAAGAGGGAACAATTCCGGCACAAGTATCACTGATGGGCCACAGGCCAAAGTCAGTGACACATACTATCTTGCTTGAAAAAAAAGGGTAAACGTTATTTTAAAGTAAAATTTAAAAACAAATTTTTTAAAAAATTAAATTTTAAGTGAAATCAAAAAATTATTCGATATTAAGAAACGACCTGACAATACTTGACGTGCTTCTAACGACGGACTTCTGCATTGAATGAAGCAGGTAACTGTTTATTCCGAGGTCTCGAAGATGTTGAACTAAACTTTTTGGAACTATCCCCGTTACTGACATTATCAGGGGCTTGATACAAACAATATTCAGGTTCCATAATCGCTTCTTTTCTGCAGCTAAGGGCAGATATTTTACCATCTTTTCCTGATACTTCAGCTCCAAGTTATGATTATTAGGGATGCTAATATCAATGATGAAAGCGGTGCGATCTCGCCTATCAACAAGCACTATGTCCGGTCTGTTTGCCATGATGGTTTTATCGGTTAGGATCGGGTTATCCCAATAGAGCCGGAAGCGCTGATTCTCCAGGACCGTGGCTGGGCAATATTTGTAGTAGGGTTCAGCAGTATCACATAGTTCTCGATCGTTGGCCAGCGCTAGATGTATAATTTTAGCCATGTTGTTATGCCGCTCGGTATATTCCTTCCCTGCAAGCAATGCGCAACCAGATGTAATGTGATCTATTGTCTCGGATGCAGCATTACACTTCCTACACTTATCGCTCTCGATCTTCTCCTTCAGTATATATCTCTTGTAATTCCTGGTGCTGATCACTTGGTCTTGTATTGCGAAAACAAATCCTTCCGTTTCTGGATACAGCTGCCCTTTCGATAACCACAAGAAAGACTTTCCTTCACTAACATGATCCTGCGCAACTGAATGATAAAAGCGTCCATGCAGCGGCTTGGAGGCCCATGCCTCCAACTGGCCAGCAACTGGGTCTGAGGGTTGTTCTTCATTCAGATCGTGACAAGCGAGGCGCAAAGGCGTGTAGGATTTATTTATGGCATTTACTGCAGCGTGCAAAGTGCTGTCGTTTCTACTGAGGAAGTAATTTCGCAGGTTACGGACTTGGCTGTGGCAGACCTCCTTCACATCAAGGATACCTCTTCCCCCCTGTTTGCGGGGGATGTGTATTCTCTCCTTCGCGGCTCTTGGGTGATGCTTATTCCACTTGGTCATCGAGGTTCTGACTTTCCTATTAAGCCCCTCAAGCTCCGTGTCAGACCATGGGACAAAGCCAAATGAGTAAGCTAACGCAGGAATGGCGAAGGTGTTGATTGCCTTGGTCGTATGTTTTGAGTTTAGAGAGGTCTTAAGTATCGCACTCAGCCGATCAACGAAGGTGTTAACCAGGTGCTCTTTGACTCTCACCTTCTGGATGGAAGAGTTCTGCCACATTCCAAGGTATTTATAAGCATCCTCCATTGTCAAGTTGTTGATGACGTCACCAGAATTGGTCACAAAACCATCCTCCCGCACTATAACGCCGTTTTCTATATGGAGCGTCGCGCATTTAGGTACTCCAAGCATCATGCCAATATCATCACTGACCTCTTCAATCACCTTGAAAAGTTGATGCAACTGGTCTCTTTGGGATGCATAGATCTTAATATCATCCAAGTAGGCTAGGTGGTTGATGACGTGGAGTACTTGTCTGTTCCGACGTAGAGGGAACCCTACCTTCATCTCTCGAATGCAATTTGAGAGGGGATTGAGGCCTAAACAGAACCACAATGCACTAAGACTGTCACCTTGAAAAATACCTCGCAGGATGTGGATGACCTCAGTTTCCAATTCACTCGCCGATCCTTGTATTATGATTCTGGTGCGCCAAGATGCCAAAATGCTCTTCAGGAAATGAACAATGACAGGATGGACTCGGTAGATATTTAAAACGTGAATTAGCCAGCTGTGCAGCATTGAATCAGAAGCTTTTTTGTAATCGATGTAACCCACATGTAAGTTACGACGTTCCTTTACAGCCTGCTTGAGCACAACTGAATCAATTATTAACAGCTCTTTGCACCCGAAGCTTCCCTTGAGACACCCTTTCTGCTCTTCACACAAAATTTTCCACTTAGCTACATGTCTCCCAATTAATCGGGTTACAATGGATGTGATGACTTTATAGAGCGTGGAGAGACATGTAATCGGTCCATATGTTTCGCAAACGTCACTCCTTCAGTCAGAAATATCGGCATTTTGTCAGGATGAGTAATAATATCTTGAATGCTTCTTGAAAGCTGCGTATGCACACATGTTAACTTTTTCAGCCAGAAATTGTGAACTTTGTCTGGTCCGGGAGCCTTCCAGTTATGAATATGCAAAGTTGCTCTCCGCACATCTTCCTTAGTGATTTCAACCTCACCTTCATGTGTAATGTGGGCATGACGCACTGTTTCCTACTCTATCCAAGGAGCTGTGCTATTATGCTCCTTGCTTGGCCTCTGACCAGATGGATCGCCAAAATCGCGTTACGTCATCTTTCGATGGGATTTCTTCGGGAGCGTTTCTCACATCCGCGGCGTTTCCCATCCTTCGATAGAAGGCTCTCTCATTACGCTGAAACAGGGCATTATCTAAATGGCGCTGGTATGATTTTTTATATCTTCTGAGTCGGGCAGCTTGAACTTTTAACTTCTGCTTCAGTGTATCAAGATGGGTTAAAAGGTTTTCCTCATTCACATGGGCCATCTTCGCCCTTAACCTCTTTGAGGTATTCTTCTTGACACACTGGGTGACTCTCCCAATCTCCTGCCTTAGGTTGGCCACTTTCCTTTCAATCCTAAGTTGCCATCTTGGTGCATTCAGTTTGATTTCCCTACGCCCATGATTTGTGGGGCCTTTGACGGCTTGTGTTATCGCCTGAGCTGCACAATAGATGATGCAATGAACTTCCTCTAACGTTGATTCTTCACGAATGTGTGCTGGTATAATTCGGTTCATCCTCTCAATACACGCGAACAACTTAGGAGTGTAAGGAAGTTTTGGCAGTGACTGTCTAAGATTTGGACTGACTCCTTGCCATTTGATCATTTCAGCAATAAATGCAACCTCTAGCGTATCAGCTTTGATAACGTTCTCGTCAGCAGTATCAGTTGCACACTCATCATGCTCCGCATTTACGATGCCTTCATCAGTGTGTAATTCCGGTACAATGTCTCGCTGTTCCACCGGACCGTCTGTGCAAGAAACTGACGCGGGATCAGCCTCTTGTACGTTTTCTTCGTCTTCACATTCACCGCGGGAAATTTCAAGTTGGACTTCATCTTTGATATTCTGCAGATCATCAGCAGACATTTTACAAGACTTCAGTATCACTCGCTTCTGGTCCATTAGGCGCTGCTCTGAGACATTTTTGCAGTCAGGGAACCTATCAAGAAAAAGTTTCCGCATTTCCGCCCGGTATCCAGGAATCGTTTCCATTTTAGACGCGAGGTAATAACAACGCATGACGTGTTGATTCATGCTTAGAGTCCAAGCCATGCGTTGCCTGAGTTTCCCTGCTTTAGTGGTCGTCGGCTGACTAGTCGACGAAACACTTGGAGCAGGGTTGGTATTGTTGGTTGGCCGTCGTGCCATACACTGGGACGATCCACGACCATCTTCGTTCCCAGCGTGGGGACTATTATGCGCGCCATGTTCCCCAACCCTTGACGCGACCGAGGCTCTTCTTTTATCGTCTTGTGAAAGAAAATCACTGACTGGGGGCTCCAACCCCCAACCAGGGATGCGCAGCTGGTTTTTCAAGTTGGGACAAGCCCAACTCTACTTCCTCGCACGCCCCTGGCGATGTTTTGGCCTCGAGGATGCCCAGCCACTTGCTCGGGTACCGCGGGGTCGCCAGCCCTCGAAAGGGCCTCCCGTACGACATTGAGGTCGCCCCTGAGGTTATTATTATTATCATTATTATTATTATTATTATTATTATTATTATTATTATTTATATGTGAAGTTATCTCCAGCTTTGCTGGGTAGTTGGGCTCTCTTCACGTGAGCAAACAATGCTCATTGGTAGAGAGAGTAGAGTGGGTTGAGGCCGGTGTTAACTTGGCTATGAATGGCCAATTTACAGCCGACGATAAGGTTTGCAGTAACCGGGGTGAGAACTGCGTCTTAAGACGCCCATCCAGAGGTTGCTTCTCGTCGATGATGGTGGGGTAGGGGTTTAGGTTGTGGGGGAACAAATGAGTATGGATTCTTTGGTTAAGGTTTTCAACTTAAGACTTTCCTCAGTATCCTAGCAGTTCCGAGGATTGCTGCTTTCTGAGCTGTGACAAGAGAGTGCTTCCCAGGGATTTCTTCCTTAAATTTCTTCCATTCTTTCGAGACTGCTCCCGTCGCACCGATTACGAAGGGTATGACTTTCGTGTCCGTTTTCCACATTCTACTTATCTCGATTT